AATACGCCTTATACTTATTTGATTTGTCAATACCAAAGACTGACTTGTTCAGGAACAGGACTCTGCAGTTATAGCGAACGTTGTGATGCATAACAGGCCTGTGGGGGGGAAAAAAAAAACACAAAGCTTGAAATAGAAAAATTAATTAATGTTACAACAGAGCACAAACAGTGAGCCGTTTTAACACTCACATGCCAACATCGCAGATGATATCCTGCGTCTCAGGGGACTCCAGCAGCGCCTTGAGGACTTGGAAGCTGTGCAGAAGTGTGTCGGATTCGTAGAAGTGATCAGCGCATCCGTAGCCACTGATAACGGAAAAGCACAGGAGACTTACACTGGCACAGAAAGACCAGACCCGGGTTTAACCCCCGAAACTCCCAATTGTTCTGTAGTTATAGTTACTAGTTGCTGAATGATGAATAATTGCATAATTGCATACAACAAAGGGTTAAATACTTCCAGAAAAACTAATTGTGTGTACTCTCACGTATTATGTCAACATAAATCATACAAATATCAATAAACAAAACAGCACAGCATGACACACCCACTGATCCCAGATATGAATGTGACATTACATTAACAGTTTCATTTTTAAATAAATTTATCTCTGATTCAGCCAAAGGTGGGCGACTTTATTAAGTAAGACATAACACACAATGGGCTGTGCTTTAATAGGAAAATAATCAAAGACAGAGTGCTATGATGTCACCTGATGCAAAGTGTAATTACTGTTAACACCCTGAAGTTGATTACTTTCCATTAACAGCATGCTATTAATTGATTTATTCTTTGTATACCACAGCGATTTGCCAACGATTGCCGTTTTTCATTTATTAAAGAATGACAAGTCAAACTTTTTATCCGTTTAGAGTTACCTGTATTGTTTCTGAACTTCCGCTAAGAACAAGTTAATTCCTGTTATCACTTACGTTATAGAAGCTATATATAGACAGTCTTCACCTCAGGCTTTTTTTCCTTGCAGTTTGTCATGTTACAGAGAAACGGTAATGCACAAGTGTCGTCTGAAGACATTGCTGTGGCGGAAAACTTAAAGAAACAGCTTCACCTACTTACTTACTTACTACTTACTAAGCTCTGGCACTGGAGACTCCTTCTATAAATGCTAAATAAACATCTCCTCGCAGAAAACACCGAAAACTTCACCATATCAACATTTAAACACATTTCAAACAGAGACTGGACAAGCTGGTTAGGAGAGCCAGCTCTGTCCTGGGCTGCCCACTGGACTCTGTGGAGGTGGTGGGTGAGAGGAGGATGTTAGCCAAGCTGACATTTATTATGAACAACACCTCTCACCCCCTGTATGGGTCTGTGGAGACCCTGTGTAGCTCTTTCAGCAGCAGACTGCTACACCCCCAGTGTAGGAAGGAGCACTACCGCAGGTCATTCTTACCAACGGCTGTCAGACTTTACAACACCGCATTACTGTGATGTTCAGATGTGCAATATTTTATAAATTTTATATAATTTTATTTCTTACAATACCGCATTACTGTGATGTTCGAATGTGCAATATTTTATAGATTTTATATAATTTTATTTCTTACAACACCGCATTACTGTGATGTTCGAATGTGCAATATTTTATAGATTTGATATAATTTTATTTCTTTTATTATTCCTAAGGTGCGTATATATAGTTATACTTTTAACTTTTCTTTCTTCCTGCACTTTAACTGTCTGTGAGCTGCTGTGATAAGTGAACTTCCCCACTGTGGGATCAATAAAGTTGATCTTATCTTATCTTATCTTAACTTATTCAAGCATCCACCATGCAAGTCCCTTTGAATAAGATGTTACTATAGAAAAGACAACACATTAGAGCAAGTGCCTGAATATAAATCTTGCACCTATAATTATTGTCCCAGCTGCTCTTATAGAAAATTAATCTACACCTTCTGACCAATCAGAATCGAGAATACAAAGAGATAATGAAGTAATCACCAGATTTCCAGTTCGGGTCCCAGTCTGTACTTGGCTCCTTTAGATTTGGCTATCTCAATACCTGTTTTAGGGAGTGAAATTAAAAATGAATCAGATCAACCCTAATAGCAGACACCAAAACGCTTCTCTTGCTTTCTGTAATAACTTCTGCAATAAATCGTCCATTTCTGAGCCACAAGCAAACGTTACAAACAAAACTTACTTTTCAGTATTCTTTGTAAATTGCCATCAAAATCTAAAGCCCATTGATTCAAAGAGCAAGTCGCTAATGTAACTTTCCGCCCCATGTTGTCAAAATAACCAGCAACTTCTACTGACTGCCCAAGCAGATCATCAGCGCGCGAGCCTTCCTGCTGTTCCTGCGGCGTCACTTCCGGCTTGTAAACTCCGCCCCTTCCCACCAGACTCCACTATTCCAGTTTAGTTCAGGTCGTTTTAGGAAAAGAAAATGGACTTTTTTTTTTTTTTTTTTTTTAATTAAGGTAGTAGGACATGTAAAATCAAGAAGGACAGAAGTATGAAGAAAATGAGGCTCACTTATTCCACACACACACAATAAAAAAAGAAGAGTCACAGTTAATTAAATTGAAATTAAATAAATACACAATAAGCAGATATAGATGAGTGTCATGTAAATAATAAGTTATGTTTTTTAAATTGACAAAGATGCTTACAGCTGTTTTTTGCATTTCATTTGACAATAAATTATTGTACAAAAATTTTCCTTTTTAAAAATCAAAAACTATTATTTTTAGTTACTATAAACTATTATAAACTATTATATTTATTATTATATATTATATTATTATAATATATTATATATTATTATTTATTATTTATTGTTATTGTTATATTAATTTTTATTTTGTATTATTTTTAAACTGTATATTGCATAAATATTATTTATATAATATTATAATATAAATATTTAATAATAATAATAATATTAATACTAATATTGCTGAGTTCATTTTCACTAATATCAAATTTGATCAACAAACAGTCATTAAACAAACATTAAACAAACAGAAATGCATGTATTTTTTTTTTGTTTTACATATAGTAGACATACAGAAGGAAAATATCCAAAATAAATAAATAATTCTGAAAACTGATAGTTGCAAGAAAAAAGTCACAATTTTTTGAATGTGGTTCCGAGTCTTATAAGTAGTTAAACTATAAAAAAAATAATATTTTTGAATGTGATATAAATGTGATATTGCATGCATAATGCTTCTCACCACTACCTGTATACTGTTTATCTCAACTAACTGCACCATAATTCCTATTTATTCCATTGAACTTAATTGCCATTTGCATTGCTGGTATGCATCATATTGTTTACCTTTACCTGTACACTGTTAACTTATTGCACCATAACCTTCTTACCTCATTTTAACTTATTTGCTATTTGCACTACTGGTTGGATGCTGACTGCATATAACTGTCTCTGTACTAGTACTCTGACAATGACAATAAAGTTGAACCTAGCCTAACCTAAATGTGGACATATAATCCACATGTGTCTATGACATTTTTCAGGTCAAACAATTTGCCAAAGATTGCCAATGATTAAGTTATACTTTTTATCTGTTTAGAATTATGCTGTATTGTTGTGTCCGCAAAACAAGTTAGTTCCTGTTATCACTTACATTAAAGCAGCTATAGACAGCTGCATATATAGCAGCTATATATAAGTAGTTAAACTAAATATATATATATTAAAAGTCCACATTTATCTCTCTCTATGTATATATATATATATATATATATATATATATATATATATATATATATATATATATATATATATACACATAGAGAGAGATAAATGGGGACTTTTAATCCATTTGCCTCTATGAATTTGTTCAGGTCAAATTTAAGTATTTATATTTATACAAAATAAGTGGTAATAATGTGATTTTATGTGGTAATACTGTGAATCTAAAATGCAGTAGGTTCATTTACGTAGGATAATTTCATACCATATACAATATTAAAACTTTTTAAAAACAAATTTGATAGTGTCCTACTAGGTTTTCCAAAATTTGTTACATATTTACTCCTGCTAAATGAAGGAACATAAGTTTTCAGTTTAAATCTCTTAAGTGCACGTTTGTCTATTTCTTCCTCCCACATTATATATATATATCTTGCCTCTATTTATTATGAACATGATCCTGAAGCCCAGAATCAAATGTTCTGCGTAAATCTAGCGCAGTGCGACGCTCTAAACACAGGTACAGCTCTCCGCTTCCTCTAGTCTCATCAGGTGCTTATGGCGTCAGGACCGCGCTGTCCAATCACACAGCTGGACATTTTCTGTACGTTATTCTGATTGGGCGAAATATCTTGCATATGATGTGGGCGGAGTCGGAATTCTGCCCAAGTCCTGTCCCATTTTTTACTGAGTATTACCAACATCTGGGCAGATTCTCGTCGAGAAGTAGATCCCTATAAATAAGTAAGCAATACTATTTCATATAATTTAATATAATATAATATTTAATATAAAGTTATATACTGTAATACTGATATTATTGTACTGTTATTGTGCTTCAGTTACAATTTTGGCATTGCAGATGAACTTTCGTGGATTAAAAGTGATCGCTTAGAATAAACAGAAATTCATATTATTGGATAATAAATGGTGCATTGGAGTTCACTGAGGTGTGTTACAGCAGAGCTTTGTGGAAGATGCATAAGTCAAAATTGGGTAAAATTCTCTCTTATTAATTACATTGTGTGAATTAAGTTGTGGAGTTGCAATAGCACAATGTGCAAGGTTAAAGCACTTGGAGGGTCTAAGACAACTGTCATTCATTCATTCATTCATTCATTCATCTTCAGTAACCACTTTATCCTGGTCAGGGTCATGGTGGCTCCAGAGCCTATCCCAGGATGGCAATACATCCTAGGTGCAGTGTTGCCACCATTTTTCAGCGGAAAATAATAATGCATGCCCAAAGTGTCACTAGGTGAGGTCACAGGCCAATTTATGGTGTGATACCACCCCATTACCACCTGGGTCCCTGAAGGACTAGTGGCTAGGACTCGGCGCTTTCGCTGCTGCAGCCAAGGTTCGATTCCCTGCCAGGGAACCAACCCCAGCCACTGGGGTTGCACAAGAACTCCCAGTGCCGGTTAAAACTGGGGAGGGTTGCATCAGGAAGGGCATCCAGCATAAAAACTGTGCCAGATCAAATATGCAGACCAAACATCCACTGTGGTGACCCCTAATGGAAGCAACTGAAAGACGAAGAACAACAACAACAACCACCCCAAAGTGTATTATTTTCAGATAACAGCATGGTCTGAAGTGTATTATTCCACTTATACCGTGGTGATTTGCTAATGATAATAATGTTTAACTTATTAATGAATGATACATCAAGCTTTTTAATGGTTTATAGTTAGATTTAATGTTGTAGAAGATCCATGAGACAAGCTAGTTCATGTTATCAGTTACGTTATAGCAACAATCAACAGTAATACTCTCACCAACATCTCTCTCTCTCTCTCTCTCTCTCTCTCTCTCTCTCGCTCTCTCTCTAAAAACACAACTTGTCTCTCAACTGAGAAACAGGAACATGCAAATTCCTCCTGTCCTAGAGACTTTTCCATGCTGGGAAATTTTGTAAAGCTTTGTGACAATTACAAGCGCCGACAACTTACCTTATCTTTACCAAAAAAAAAGTTTTTCATTGGGAGCAATGGTGATTAGTGATTGGTCATTGGGAATAATGATGATTAGTGATTGGTCATTGGGAATAATGGTGATTAGTGATTGGTCATTGGGAATAATGGTGATTAGTGATTGGTCATTGGGAATAATGGTGATTAGTGATTGGTCATTGGGAATAATGGTGATTAGTGATTGCTCGTTGGGCAAAACTCAGACAGGCTTTACACGCTGGTGGTGAGTCGACTGGGCCCACTCTCTTAATTCATACAAATGAAAAGTCACCAAAGCGGTCTTAAAAAGTCACAAGTTGGCAACACTGCCTGGATGGGATGCTAGTTCATCACAGCTGTCAAATATCAATGCACTTTTATCATAAAAATGCATTTGTGACATTACATGCACCTTCAGAAGTACTCCTGCATGACTTATTATCTTCTTAATGGGTGGTAACAGTCTTTATCAATCTCTGTCTTTATTACAGATGTTACTACACTTTATATAACAAGTTATCTTTAAGTCTCAAGTTCATTCAGCACCCTTGACCTTGGTTTCCAATCTCACCTGGGTGTGGTATAAAGGTCACGTCTATATAGTTTACAGATGATCCAATCATGATGTCCTCACAGTAACTGATGATATGCATCAAGCCACAGATTCCCAATCCTGGTGCTGGAGAACCCTCTGACCTGCACATTTTAGCGTTTTCTCTACTCTAAACCACACACCTCAGTACAGGAAGGGCTGTTAATTAGCTGATTAGTCCAATCAAGCGTGTTGAGAACAGGGAAAATGCTATAATGTACAGGGCAGGGGGTACTCCAGGACCAGGGTTGGGAACCTGTTTGAAGAAAGAAACAAGTGCCAGTGAATCAGATTAAAAACAATGCCAAATCCAATCCAATATTGGTGCAGCATTTCAGTCGAGTATCAGTACTCGGCGTCAGATCAGTATCAGGCACATCACTCATATATACCACGTTACTCACTTTGTGTTTCTGTCACTTTTTCTTTGTTAGAGATCCATGAGTACGTCAGAGGGTGTCCGAAAGCGCCATAAGGTTCAACCCAGTGGCACCAATGTGGGGCAGAAAGAGAGGAAAGCGGAGACGGGCCAGTGGGGGAGAGCATGGTAAGTTCATACAAGGTGGACATAAACAGATGCTAAAAATGTTACATTCATTGAAAGACATTTTTTACTCAAATGTTAGACCTAGTTATGGGGAAATTAAAAGAACTCATAACTTGATGCTTTCTGTTACTAGTTTCACAGTAGTTACTGAGTAATTAATGGTGACTGCTGACTAATATGCTTTAAGTGAACTCACTTTAGTTGGCACTTTAGTTCTTAGCTGGATAGTTGCAGGGAATTTAACTTTCTTTATCTGTTGTTACACCAGGGAGGTGGATTGGTTCTCCTTGACTGGTGTGATTCTGCTCCTGTGCCTGGCCCCATTCATCGTCTTCTTCTTCGTCATGGCGTGTGATCAGTACCAGTGCTCAATCAGCTTGGTTCTGCTGGACGTGTACAACGGAGACACCAGTCCACTGAGCATCTGGAAGCAAGCGCCTTCATTCACATGGACCGCCGCTAAAATCTACGCCGCCTGGGTCACCTTCCAGGTAAAAATGTTCATATTACAACAATGTAAATTACACTACGATATTGTCATGATATTGTTTCTCCAAGGAACAATTAGTGAGTTCAAACTTACATACACCATTCTATACACATACAACATAACTACATACCTTTTCCATTCGTTTCACAGTAGTTGAATAGAGTTATGTGTTTTAAAATGAAGAGCTAAATAATAAGCTGTGAGGTTAAAAATGCCTATATTACAATTCTTTTGGAAACCTTGTATAGTGAGGGTAGCTATATGATTGCCTTCACCAATACCGATACACATGAGAGATTCACATATACCTCTGGTTGTTAGTGAAGCGATATGGACAGGGTTTGGATGCAAGTGCATGATTTTATTAAATGAAGTAGACAAGTCCAAAAGGACAAGCTAGTGATGTTATGCTGGGACCTGAAAGCTTCAAGCGTGTGGCGAGAAGGCTTTCATGTGAAGCTCATGTGAAGAGATTGCTTTGAGTACGGGTCCATTTTTGTCGGGTTGTTTCGAGTCGTCAGTAATCTGTAAAGATTGTGTAGAAGCATATTCAATCTCAAAGCCCCATTGACAGCCCATTTAAAGAAACACATGAACTGTTCAGCTGAAGCACAGTATTCTTTTGAAAATTTGAATGTTAAAGACATCATTACATCAAGGATCCTTTTACACCTACTAGCATTATAAGCTCTATTAACATACAGAAAGATATCACCGCACACGTGTATTATTTAACAATGTAATGTTTCACTACAAAAAAAAAACACTTTCATATTTAAAAAATCCTTTATTTAACTTACAACAGCCATTTTTTTTACTAGTGCTGTCATGTAAAACAGTTTTACATAGCACACACTGGTGTGTGTGTTTTTTTTTAACCATTTGATGACCTAGTGTAGCCCCTGGTGAAAAATCCAGCTACCGGCTACCGGCTGCCAAAACGCAGGCCGAGTTGAACAAACTGGTAGACCATCTTTGCCAGGTAGTTCCTGATTACTTCTCTAAATCGATCAGTGTAGAACACGTTTACAATGTTCTACTCGCCTTATTCTCGCCTTATTTTATTCTTAAAAATGACTTGTCCATTTCCTTTCTGCAAGTGCTGGTCTACCAGTTTGGCCTGTTTTTTGGCAGATGGTAGCTGGCTGAGCTGGATTTTTTAGCATCGAGAAGTGAACCATTTATCAGCACAGGTGACTGGAAAGATTCACCGTTTCATGACGCTTCGTCTTGCCATCACTAGGACAAAGCAAATTTATAGTTGATAATTAAATTTGAGCGTTACAAAACGCTCAGGAGCGTGACTAGTGGAATGCTAGCCGTGAGACTTCACAAAGATTCAGTCAAAGTCCAGGTTATTTATGGGAATTGTGCTGATTGGGAATAGATGGTTGTGATTTCAAGTCCAAGAACTAGAACGTAGCAGATCACGTGACTCGGTTTGAAGTCTGTCGTTTGGCTGAGCATTCTGGGAAATGCTGCTGGCGCAGACGTGAAGATATTTCAGCCTTGGCAAGGAGGAAGCATTGTATGAACATTACACTTGCTCTATTATTGGAAAACATTACAGAATGTTGTTCATAACTAATTGCTCCCTGTTGTTTTGTGTCAAATGGAATAAAACTAGCAAGGTATATTTTAAAATTTGGAGATTTGGAGGTTGAGGTGGGGTTCTGACTGAAACAAAAATGATGAAGTCGAGCGGGTAAATAAGGCGTCATAAGTGTGTCACTAGGTTATGTTTTTAAGGGTTAAATCTCATCAAACCATGACACCTTAGCAGAGAGCTATAACTATGCTGAATGGAAACGTTGCATAATCAGTTGTGTCTGATTTCCACAAGTGTCTGATTATCAGTTGTTCCAAGTGTGGAGAAAATAATAATGAGGAAATACCGTACCACCATGATTCTTTAACTTTTGCACTTGGCCTCTCTCCACTAGGTGGTGCTGTATATGTGCATTCCAGATGTTACCCACAAGTTCCTGCCAGGTTATGTAGGAGGGGTGCAGGAAGGAGCTCATACACCAGCAGGTAAAGAGTTCGTCAGCCACCACAAGCTCGTGACTGTACAGCAGAGGAAACTGATCCGGAAGATTTTATTGTCTTAAGGTTTTGTAGGTTTTGCAATTAAACCATGTGGTAACATCTGAACTTTTAGCACATAAATAATGCTGTATTACTGTTGGCAAAGATACCATGGTGTCTGAGAGGTGAGGAATAGCCCAGAATATTATAAGTTAGACATATTAAACACGGACAAAAGTGAGAAGAAACTCAGAGACACATCAGAGCACAAATAGTTGATTATTTTCATATAATGGCATGTCCCAAAGAGTTTGATTCCTCTTATACAACAGCAAATTGCCGACGATTACAATTTTTTATTTATTAAGGAACAACACTGCGTTCCTTTGATCCATGTATAGTTAGGTTTAGTGTTGTGGAACATCTGCAAAACAACTTAGTCCTTATTATCACACGCATTATAGCAGCTGTCAAAAACGGTTCCATCACCAGCCTTTCTTTTTCTCTCTCTCTCTCTCGCTTGAAATTAATAAGAAAAAAAATGCAGCTTCTTATGTTACAGAGAAAGAAGACTTTCCCATGTCGGATTATTCGAAGGAACAGCTTTATTTCGGACTGTTATAAAGCACTGACACTGGAGACTCCTTCCAAAAATGCTAAATAAACATCTCCTAAGAGGGGTCTTCACCATATCCATGAATACACGTGTTTTTTATTCAGTTTATTGAGAGTAACATATTCAAATGAGCACATTACTGTAAACCTTGCA